GGGGGTAGTGTGGATGCATGTGTGATCACCGCAACCAGTGCCAAACTGCTGCGAACACTGAGCACACCCACAAAGCCCATGAAAAGGTGAGAGCAGAAGGGGAAGCACAAATGATGGAGCAGTAGCAGGGGCCACAAACAGGTTAGTTGCAAAAACAAGGTATGTTGAACCTCTTCCTCCTCCCTCCTAGGCATGCCGGATACCACTTTGCTCCTGGAACCACTGCTGTCATGACCCAGGAAATAAGGCCATTAAACCTAGAGCTCCTGGAGGAAACTGTGCAGGCCATGGACGTGGTGTGAGTGGTCTGAAACATAAATCCAGAAACTATCAACTACTAAACAAATGGCTGTGTCATTTTTAGATGGAGCATGGTAGGCAGGAAAGCTCTATAGCTAAGGTATTTCTGTAGGGTCCCTGGCTCCCACACCTCCAGTGTAGACTAAGAAGTGTCCTTTACACTACCTCAGGCATCTAGTCCCTCCAGAACCCCAGTCTTAGCTAGTGTTGCAGGATGGAGGTGGAAAGCTCCACTGTTTTCCCTCCAAACCTTTCTTTTGATCTGACCAAACTGTACACCTTCTCCATACCACTTCACTGCCTTGCTTTTGCCCTGTACTGATGACTACTGTAAAACCCACAAAGCTCCATGGACAAACCCTACCCAGAGCTTCTCTCTGGACCATCAGTGACCCAAATAAAGCTCACATCTCAGTCAGATCTGGCTTGGGCCTTAGGAATACAGTGATGACAGAGGGACTGTTTCCTAAACCAATAGCAAATTTTCACTGAGCAACCCTCACTCCTCCAATGCTGTGAGACACCTCAGATGACCTGTGAGACACCTCAGATGGCCAGACTTACCTGAGTCACTTACATAAAGCTGATCTTCATTGCACAGGCTGGGCTATGAGTAGAGAGACTTCAATGTGAGCAGAGAGATCAACATTAAGTTTCCTGGATGATAGAGATCACGGACTCATTGGGCAGAGATAATACATTATCTTTTAGGCTTAGCTGAGTTTTCTGGGATGCACATCCTGTCTTCAAGATAGCTGGCTTCTCCCTTATCATATGGTAATACCTACTACAAAATTTATCATGGACCTCGGGTGCTTGCGGAATGAACCATTTACTCACAGTAAATTTACCTCCCTAAGAAAAACAGTTTTAGGGGCTGGGAAGGTGGCTCAGTGGTAGAGTGCTTGCCTTGCATGCATGAGGCCCTGGGTTCGATTCCTCAGCACCACATAAGCAGAAAAAGCTGGAAATGACGCTGTGGCTCAAGTGGTAGAGCAGCTAGCCTTGAGCTGAAGAGCTGAGGGACAGCGCCCAGGCCCAGAGTTCAGGCCCCCCGACCGGAAAAAAAAAAAAAAAAAGAAAAGAAAAACAGTTTTAGCCAGATGTGATGTCACAGACCTGTAATTCTAGCTCTCAGGAGGTAGAGGCAACAAACACAACACACACACACACACACACACACAAAATAATTAACAAATAAAAAGATAGGTGGCTTCAAAACTTTTCCCACCTCTAGAGAAGGTCTCCAAGCTGCATATTCTTGGGTCTAATTGAACTTCTGTACTACCTTATTGTGAAAACATCAAACTCTAAAAGTTGAAGAAAGTTCATATTTTCACCAGACATTTTTTTTTTGGTCAGTCATGGGGCTTGAACTCTGGGCCTGGGTGCTGTCCCTCAGCTCTTCAGCTCAAGGAGAGTGCTCTACCACTTGAGCCACTTCTGGTTTTCTGGTGGTTAATTGGGGATAAGAGATTCATGGACTTTCCTGTCCAGGCTGGCTTTGAACTGTGATCCTCAGATCTCAACCTCCTGAGTAGCTAGGATTATAGGCCTGAGCCAGGCTCCATCTAACCACCCATTCATTCATCTAACTTTTTATTTTACTTATTTATTTATTCATTTTTGCCAGTCCTGGGGCTTGAACTCTGGGCCTGGGCACTGTCCCTGAGCTTCTTTTGCTCAAAGCTAACACTCTACCACTTGAGCCACAATGCCATTTCTGGCTTTTTCTGTATATGTGGTACTGAGGAATCAAACACAGGGCTTCATGCATGCTAGCCAAACACTCTACCACTAAGTCACATTCCCAGCCCTTTCCTAATTTTTTTTCGGGGGGGGGGGTCCAGTCATGGGGCCTGAACTCTGGGCCTGGGCGCTGTCCCTCAGCTCTTCAGCTCAAGGCTAGTCCTCTACCACTTGAGCCACAGCGCCACTTCCGGCTTTTTTCTTTTTGCTTATGTGGTGCTGAGGAATCAAACCCAGGGTCTCATGCATGCAAGGCAAGCGCTCTACCACTGAGCCACCTTCCCAGCCCCCTCACCTATTTTTTTAGACAGGTGTTTTTCTCATGGCGAAGATATTACTGGGATGTGAACTCAGGGCATCATACTGTTAGGCTGGTGTTCTGTCACTTGATCCATGCCTCTAGCCCTGCTTTTTGCTGGTTTTGGAGATGGAATCTAACAAACTTCTCTGCCCTTAAACCACAATCCAAATCTCAGCTTCCTGAATCATTAGGATCTACAGGCATGAGCCATTGCACCCAGCTTAGATTGAAGTGTCAAAGCCCTCACATCTCTGGAAAGAAGATAACCAACTCTGTTTCAACTCTACATGGAGCATTTTCTCCACCTAGAGTTCAATAAGAAATGAGCTGCTCTGTGCCCTGGTGTCTCACACTTGTAATCTTAGCTACTCAGGATGATGAGATCTGAAGATTATAGTTCAGAGCTACTAGAGCAAACAAAACCAAGAGACTCTTATCTCCTTTAATTAACCAGCAAAGAGCAGGAGTGGAGGCCTGACAAGTGGTAGAATACCAGCTGTGCACAAGAGTGAGACACCCTGAGTTCAAGCCCCAGGACTGACACATGCACATGCATGCGCACGCGCACACACACGCACACACACACACACACACACACACACACAGCTGCAAGTGGTAGAATACCAGCTAATGGGTCAAACTCAAGGCCTCTTGAGTTCAAGGTTCAATATTCAGTATCATTTTTTTTTAAGGTGGGGGGCTGGGAAGGTGGCTCAGAGGTAGAGCGCTTGCCTTGCATTCAAGAGGCCCTGGGTTCGATTCCTCAGCACCACATAAGCAAAAAGAAAAAAGCTGGAAGTGGTGCTGTGGCTCAAGTGGTAGAACGCTAGCCTTGAGCTGAAGAGCTGAGGGACAGCGCCCAGGCCCAGAGTTCAGGCCCCATGACCGGACCCCCCTCCCCCCAAAAAAAAAAGCCAGGCGCTGGTGGCTCACACCTGTAATCCTAGCTACTCAGGAGGCTGAGATCTGAGAATCAAAGTTCAAAGCCAGCCCGGGCAGGAAAGTCTGTGAGACTCTGATCTCCAATAAACCACTAGAAAACCAGAAGTGTGCTGTGGCTCAAGCAGTAGAGTGCTCGCCTTGAGCTGAAGAGCACAAGGACAGCACCCAAGCCGAGAGTTCAAGTCCCATGACTGACGGAAAAAAAAAAAAAAAGAGATCAAGAGGCTGAGAAATCAAAGCCAGGGCAGGCAGGAAAGTCCATGAGACTCTTATCTCCAGTAAACCACCAGAAAACCAGAAGTGGCACTGTGGCTCAACCAGTAAAGTGCTAGTCTTGAGCTGAAGAGCTGAGGGACAGTGCCCAGGCCCAGAGTTCAAGCCCCACAACTGACAAAAAAGCTGTAGACACCAGGGCTCACTCACCTCAACCCTTAAGCCTAAAGACTCATCTTTTGATGACTGTCACCCTTCTACTTGCAACCTCAACCTAGGGTCTGCCAGACACTGAGGGCTCAGCTCACATTTGAGAATGTGAGGTCTGCAGATAAGACACATGAAGATTTCTGTCCCAGCTACCCTCATGCTGATGGAAGATTAGTCATTTCTGCGAAAACCTCTGACTCCTACTCTAAACTAATGAGGAATTCCTAAGATGTCTGTCAGGACTTTCAACCTGACAGAACCTCTGTCCCTAGCTTTCTGGATCAGAGCTGGCCACAGCTGGACTGTCTATCGGAGCACTCTAAATTCTGAGCAACCTTTTCTAAGAACTTAGTGTCCTGTGATGGGAAGGGAAGAATGAGAGGGAAAGAAGGAACAGCTCACACTAAGCAAAAAGAAAGAAATATAATCATCACCTGATGTGGAAGAAATAATTTGTATTGTCAAAGCTCATAGAATTCGCAAACTTTATAGACCATGATAATGACAATTTGCTTTGTGAAGGCTAAAATGTGTTTGACTTAACTAAGTATCACTATTCCACAATACTGTGAAATATGTGAAATTTATGTAATCACCTAATCTCAATTGAAAAAAAAAAAGAGAAGGGATGGGTTAGGAAGGATGGGTGACAATGTTGTCAGACACCTTGTACTCATATACTGTTTCGTAGAATGGGAACTTCTTGTACAACAACTTAAAGATATAATAACAAAAAATGCAGGGGCTGGGAAGGTGGCTCAGTGGTAGAGCGCTTGCCTTGCATGCTCGAGGCCCTGGGTTTGATTCCTCAGCACCACATAAGCAAATTGAAAAAAGCCAGAAGTGGCGCTGTAGCTCAAGTGGTGGAGAGCTAGCCTTGAGCTGAAGAGCTGTCCTTCAGACAGCGCCCAGGCCCAGAGTTCAGGCCCCATGACTGGACCCCCCCCCAAAAAAATGTAAAAAATATAAAAAGAAAAAAAAACCTGTATCCCTTTATATCCCTACAATATGAGTCTAATCCCAGCTACCATCTTGACACTACAAATCTAATCTGTCCATATGTCCTTGGCACAAGTAGCCAATACTTGGGATATGAGGTAGTTCAGGGAGCCAATCAGAAGTCAGGCTTTAGGAGGAGGAGATGAGAGCCCAACACCTGGACTTTGGGGTAAGTCCAAGCCTGGCCAAGGAAGGTCTGAGAAGACTATTTGAGTGGACTGTAGGAGTAGACTGCGTCTACACAGCTGGCCTGGTCTCAGGTCTATTACGTTAGCCCAAGGACAAAGATACCCATAAATAAGGCCAGGCCCAGATCTCAGTCACAACTGCCACAATGCTACTGCTTAGCCTGACCCTTAGCCTGGTCTTCCTCAGCTCTTCCTGGGGTAAGTGAGCTACAGCTGGCCAGCCTGGGACAACTCAGCTCCCAGTGCATCCAGGGACACAGAGAAGGAGCCAGCCTGTCTTGAAGGGAAGCAGGAAGACAGCATGGGTAAAGAGATGGAGGAAGAGGTAGACAGGAGCAGGCCTGAAAGGACTCAGGAGACTGAGCCCTGTCAGTAGAATGTGTAGTTTAGGAAGAGCCCTCTGGCCGCATGAAAGGTATGAACTGTTCAGGCTTGGAGGGATGGAGGACCAGAGAGACTGTCTGCGGGATCAGGAAGAAGTGGCCTGGTGATGGAGTTGGAGAACAGTAGGGACTAGGTTGGAAATGTGAGAGAATGAACAGGACTTGGGGGCTGGTTAAACAGGTAACTAAGCTAGCTGTGGAGGCCCAGAAGGCACTTAGAAGGGCTAGTGACAGCCCCTTCACTTTGAATACCTTGGGGTTACATAGCCTGGGGGAGAATTTTGGGGAAAGTGGGGAGAGGAAGGCTGGGTGATAGATCCTCACCAACTCAATGGCCAGGCTGCGGTGTTCCTGCCATCGCACCATCGCTGAACTTCAACCAGAGGATTGTCAATGGGGAGAACGCTGTGCCAGGCTCCTGGCCCTGGCAGGTGTCCCTGCAGGTACACATATTCTTGGGTTGGGGCAGAACCCTGGGTACTTTACACTTACATGTAGCCTGAGCCTAGGCCCATCTCTGACTTCTGACTTCAGGAAAGAAATGGCTTCCATTTCTGTGGAGGGTCTCTCATCAACCAATACTGGGTAGTTACTGCTGCCCACTGCAATGTCAGGTGAGTGTTTATACTCTGTCAACCCTGCCAACGGCAGGGCATTCATCCCACCTCTTTCTCTTGGATGCCCATCTTGCTCTGCACCCCTGACAGCTGTCCATGCCCATTCTCACTGTAGTCCTGGCCGCCACTTTGTTGTCTTGGGTGAGTATGACAGATCATCCAATGCTGAGCCTATACAGGTGCTGTCCATCTCAAAGGTGAGTGCCTGGCCGCCTGCATGAGAAGGAATAGTGGACCACAGGTGGGCTGCTTTGGGTACAGCTGCCTCAGCACCAATGCTGGGTCCCTGTGCCTACTCCAGCCCTACATGGCTCTTTCTTGGCCCCACAGGCCATTACACACCCCAACTGGAACCCCACTACTCTGAACAATGACTTGACACTCCTGAAGCTTGCCTCACCAGCCCAATATACAACACGTGTCTCACCGGTCTGCTTTGCAGCCTCAAATGAGGCTCTGCCTGAAGGCCTCACATGTGTCACAACTGGCTGGGGCCGCATCAGTGGCACAGGTAAGAACTTGGGGCAGAGCTGGGGGAGAAGGGGACAAGCATCCTGGGCCAACCTGACTACCCTTTCCTGGCCCGCAGGCAATGTGACACCAGTACGTCTGCAACAGGTGGTTCTGCCCCTGGTCACTGTGAACCGGTGCCGGCAGTATTGGGGCTCAAAAATCACCGATTCTATGATCTGCGCAGGTGCCGCAGGTGCCTCCTCATGCCAGGTGAGTAAAGGAATTCTGTCCTCTGGACTTAACCACAACACACCTTTCCAACTGACTTCTTCCCCTTTTCCCTCTCAGGGTGACTCGGGAGGCCCTCTTGTCTGCCAGAAGGGGAACAAGTGGGTGCTGATTGGTGTCGTCTCCTGGGGCACTGAAAACTGCAATGTCCAAGCACCTGCCGTGTACACTCGGGTTAGCAAGTTCAACACCTGGATCAACCAGGTCATAGCCTCCAACTGAGGCCCTTCCCCATCTCAACCAAATAAAGATCCCAAGTGCTATCTACTTGTGTATTCTTGTCTGCCATTCTAGTTCAAAGGAAAGGGACACTCTGCAGGGTTCTATCTCTAAGTTAGACTCTCCACTGGCACACAAAGGGCTGAAGACTCAGAATCTTCAGGCAGGGACCCCCCACTTCTCCTCCTATGAGGCAACACTGTGGTCCCACAACACAAAGCCAGGGCTACCAGAATGAATGGGCAAGCCTTCCCCAGGGAAGGCAGCCTGTTTATTGAATACAGAGGATACATTTACAAATTGAGTACACAAAATAAATAACTGCACATTTTCCATCCATGGTCCAGTCCATGGCATGAAGGCCCACTGGGCCTATCAAAAGCCCACGACACCAAACTCCTTCAGAACCAGGTCTACCTGGGCAAGAGAGGATATAAATCCTCAGGACTTCAGGCCCCTAGAGACACTTGGAGAATTAGGGGAAAATTCTGAGGCCGGGAGGCATGGGTTCCCCACTGCCTCCTGCCCAGGGAAGAATGGGACAGAGGAGGGAGTATATAAGGCACAGTCAACTTGGCACTGAGTGGTCTCTTTGGTTTGATTTCCCATTGAAGGTGGCACACACAGAAAGAAGAGGACTTGGCCCAAGGCTGCCCACTGGGAGGAGCTGAGTGCAGGTCAAACTCCCCTTATAGTCCAGCTAAAGCCCAAGCTGGGCCCTGGCCCTTATCCATTTAAAGCAGCTGTAGAGGAAAGAAAGCTTCAATTCCAGCCTGGATAGTGACTGGGGGGCAGCGGGGTGGGGGTTGGTGAAGACACTAGGACAGCTATGGGGACACAGTTCTGGCTCAGTCCTCTGGGAAAACAGCCCCTCCCCCATCTAATAAGGACTCTAATAAGGACCTCTTCCAGCCTGAGATTCATCAAGGCCCAAAGTAGAAGATTAATGCTGTGAAAGGAAGTGGGTACTGGATGGACAGGGCAAGACAGCTCTCACAGCAAGGCTAGTATCCCAGGCACCCAGAATTCAGAGGCCGATTACACAGTATGGCTAAGTTCCAGAAAGAGGTGCACGCAGGAGAAGCAGAAGCAGAAGAAACATAGGAAGGAGAAGAAGCAGAGCAGAAGGAGAACTGAACAGTCCAGGACCCTTTACTAATGCAGCAACTCCTTCCTTTCCATTTTAATTTGGAGGACTGAAGCTTTGCAAGAAGGCTGTGCATACTTAAGTCTAACACTAGATGGCGCCATCATCAAGCTGTAGAAGAGGGCAGAGCAGCACCTGAAGGGAAGGGCAATGGACAGCGCCAAAGGATGGAATGGGGGACGGGGTGGGGGTGGGTGGGGGGGGAGCTCTGCCTTGGCTCAGGTGTCCCAATCCCCCAGGTAGCAGCAGTGGGACTCCTTTTAACCTTCCCACCTCATAGTGGGGAAGGAGACTTCTGGGAAATGCAATAGGCATCCAAGGGAGAGGGCAACAGTGGGTCCTGCAAAGAAAGTACTGAGGGTTATGAGCAGGAACCCGCTTATAAACAGAGGGGTTAGATCCTGGGACAAGCCTGTCACGGATAAGGCTAAAGTCCATGCCACAGCTCTACCACTAGAGGTCCTGGCAACTCTTGGAGCTGGGGGGGTTCTGGTGGCACCATGAAGGAAGACATCTTGGCTGGGATGTGAGCACTACTTAAATTTAACCAGGTTTAACCAGGGCCAGTACCTGGAATCTGCATCATAGCTAAAGTCAAAATCGGACCTCTCACTGAAGCAGTGTGTGTGTGTGTGTGTGTGTGTGTGTGTGTGTGTGTGTGTGTGTGT